ACTCTAACCCAACAAAGGGGCACAATAGATCTTTTAGGTCGCAGTGCACGATCCCTTACTCAATAATAATAATAATAATAATAATAATAATAATAATAATAATAATAATAATAATAATAATAATACAAAAATATAGTTTAGCCCAATAGGTAGCTTACGTGACCAAAGACTTTTGTGCAGGGAATTGACACAATGACAAGCGTTGGATTTGAAAATATGAGATCCTTGGTTCTTAGCTAGTTCAATTCCAGAAGATATAATTGCTTAAATTTTAAACCAAAAATAACTTTTAATTTAAAACTAGAAAAAAAAACACAAAAAAATGTAAATCCAGTAATAATTTTTTATTTATAATAAAATATTTTACAATAAGATTTATACGATCCTCTAAACAATATATTTGACAACAAAATTTTAAAATATGAACATATAAACAATATGTAGTTTGAAGATCCGGGAAAAACGCAATATTTCTATTAAAAACGCAATATTCTACCATATTCGCTTGGCATGACATTTACGCTTTCAGTCTTCAAGGCTCATGTGTATCAAAGACTATTGCCTAATTTTATCGAAGATGTCCTTGAAGATAGTCATTCATTTGGATCTGCTGGTCTTTAGATATATATCGCCAACTATCTTTAAAAATGGATGGATAGGTCTGTTTTGAATTGGAAAGAACAAAAGAAAGATTTGGTCATTTTATAGTTGGAAATTGATCAGTCTACAATCAAGGACGTCTTCAAAATATGAAGACATACTTCAAAGTCATTAGATACACATATTTGTCTGTCTTTCAAAAGATTTTTGAATAAATCATATCAGCAAAATGTCTTGAAAAACATTTTAAGTATAGTGACACTAATTAGTGTTTTTGAAGTTCTTAAGCACTTACTCAATAATGCCGACATACCTTTGTCTATGCGACCCTATGGTATGATTAGCAGATGATGTTGATTGGTTCAGTTTTGATATTGATACCAGGTTTAATATATGACTCGATTTGTGGGCTATATAAATATTGAAAAAACTGCACATGCACTAAAATTGGGGCGTAAGTTATTAGTATTATAATATACCAAAAAAATGAAAAATTCCAGTTAATACTGGATTTGGTCAACTTTACTGGCTGTATAAGATCCAAAATCTTTGTTATTTATTGGAAAAAGAGTACTCATTTACAAAGTAGCCATGGTTTCAATCTGGAAGTTCGGAATATAGATTCAGGGAACAATAACCAAAGCGAACCGATGGCCTGTTTAGATATTGCTACTAAAGATACTTTTAAGAATCTCAACAGGTGGCCTACGTAGAGAATTGAAAGTTGATATTAAACAAAGTATCTTAAAATACTCTGCAAGGTTATTGAACCGTTTAACTTGCAAAATTTGACTATAATGGATCAAAGAGAGATGCACAAAAAATGCCAGAAAGACCGTATAATTATTGATCTGAACAACATTAGCTTAATATACC